ACAGGGCCCACTAGAGGACGTTTGGCCCTCAGGCCACCCTCATGAAGTCTGTTTCTGATTGTTTGGTCAGAGACATTCACACCAGTGGCCTGCTGGAGGTCATTTTGTAGGGCTCTGGCAGGGCTCATCCTGTTCCTCCTTGCACAAAGGAGCAGATACCGGTCCTGCTGATGGGTTAAGGACCTTCTATGGCCCTGTCCAGCCCTCCTAGGGCAACTGCCTGTGTCCTGGAATCTCCTCCATGCTCTTGTCTCCTGGAATCTCCTCCATGCTCTTGTCTCCTGGAATCTCCTCCATGCTCTTGAGACTGTGCTGGGAGACTGTGTTTGGTTTTAAAGGGATATGAAGTGACAACCCTATAGGTATGGCCTCATGCTACCAGTAGTGACACTAACCCTAGCCAAATGTAAAAGATGAGGAGGGAAAAAATGTCAGTGGCCCCCCCCACCTGTAAAACCATTCCTGTTTTAGGGGTCATCTCATTGCTGTCCATCTAGTGCACCTGTTGTTAATTTCATGAACACCAAAGCAGCTGAAACTGATGAACAACCCCCTCTGCGACTTACCTGACCAGATCAATATCCCAGGAGTTTCCTTGACTTGATGCCAGACTCGGGTTACAAAGTCTTCCTTTCATTTTTTTTTTTTTGAGCCGTGTATTATTCTGAGGTCAAATTAAAGATCTATATAGAGGAATCAGGACCTCCTTCCTCCTGCCGGTGACCCCTCTAGTGATATAAAGATCTATATAGAGGAATCAGGACCTCCTTCCTCCTGCCGGTGACCCCTCTAGTGATATAAAGATCTATATAGAGGAATCAGGACCTCCTTCCTCCTGCCGGTGACCCCTCTAGTGATCTATATAGAGGAATCAGGACCTCCTTCCTCCTGCCGGTGACCCCTCTAGTGATCTATATAGAGGAATCAGAACCTCCTTCCTCCTGCCGGTGACCCCTCTAGTGATCTATATAGAAGAATCAGGACCTCCTTCCTCCCGCCGGTGACCCCTCTAGTGATATAAAGATCTATATAGAGGAATCGGGACCTCCTTCCTCCTGTCGGTGATAAAGGGATACACTCCACCGAAACTGCCTTACTCAAACTCTCCAACGACCTGCTAACCGCCAAAGCTAATGGCCACTATTCAGTGCTCCTACTCCTTGACCTCTCTGCGGCCTTCGACACAGTCCACCACCCCCTCCTCCTCGAAAAACTACACTCCCCTCGGCCTCAGAGATTCTGCTCTCTCCCGGCTCTCATCCTACCTGTCACAACGCTCCTTCAGCGTTACCTATAATGCTACCACCTCCCCCTCACTCCCCCTCTCTGTTGGGGTCCCTCAAGGCTCTGTCCTCGGGCCCCTTCTCTTCTCCATCTACACCTCCTCCCTTGGCCAACTCATACACTCTCACGGCTTCAACTACCACCTCTATGCCGACGACACACAAATCTATCTCTCAACCCCCCACCTCACCCCCTTGGTCTCAGCCCAAATCACACACCTACTGAGCGACATATCAGACTGGATGTCACTCCACTTCCTTAAACTGAACCTCTCCAAAACCGAGTTTCTTGTCTTGTCCCCCCCCCCCCCCCAGCCCGGAAACCACCCCCCATTGATTTCTCCATCACATCCAACAACGCCACCATCAAACCTGCCCCGCAGGCCAGAGTACTTGGTGTCATTCTGGACTCCAACCTATCCTTCCAGCCCCAAGTCCAATCTTTAACAAACTCGTGCAGACTCCACCTCCGCAACATGCAGACTCCACCTCCGCAACATGCAGACTCCGCCTCCGCAACATCGCCAAAATCCGCACGTTCCTAACCCCAGAAACCACTAAACAGCTCATCCACTCCCTCATCATATCACGACTGGACTACTGCAACTCCCTCCTCACTGGCCTGCCTCACCGCTGGCTATCCCCGCTTCAGTCCATCCTGAATACGGCAGCCAGACTCATCCACCTCACCAACCGCTCCGTCTCCGCCACCCCCCTCTGCCAATCCCTCCACTGGCTTCCGATTGCCCAACGGATCAAATTCAAAATCCTAACACTGACGTACAAAGCTGTCCACCATACTGCCCCGAACTACATCACTGACCTAATATCCAAGTACCGCCCAACACGCACACTCCGCTCCTCACAAGACCTCCTTCTCTTTAGTTCCCTGGTCTCCTCCTCCCATGCCCGCCTCCAGGACTTCTCCAGGGTGTCACCCATCCTCTGGAACTCCCTGCCCCAACCCATCAGATTATCACCTACTCTCCTCTCCTTTAGGCGCACCCTGAAAACCCATCTCTTCAGGGAAGCCTACCCCACCCCCTGCTAACTTGCCGACCTCCTCCACTCTTCCTACCACTCCATCCCCCACAGCTATCTCCTCCTGTACCACCATCCCCCCCCCTCCTAGACTGTAAGCTCGAAAGAGCAGGGCCCTCGATCCCCTCATGTTTTGCATTGTATTGGTATTGTTCTGTCACATGTTCTGTCCCCCTTTTGTAATGTACAGCGCTGAGCGAACTATCGGCACTTTATAAATACTGTATAATAATAATAATATAGGGGAATCAGGACCTCCTTCCTCCTGCCGGTGACCCCTCTAGTGATATAAAGATCTATATAGAAGAATCAGGACCTCCTTCCTCCTGCCGGTGACCCCTCTAGTGATCTCTATAGAGGAATCAGGACCTCCTTCCTCCTGCCGGTGACCCCTCTAGTGATCTCTATAGAGGAATCAGGATCTCCTTCCTCCTGCCGGTGACCCCTCTAGTGATCTATATAGAGGAATCAGGACCTCCTTCCTCCTGCCGGTGACCCCTCTAGTGATCTCTATAGAGGAATCAGGACCTCCTTCCTCCTGCCGGTGACCCCTCTAGTGATCTATATAGAGGAATCAGGACCTCCTTCCTCCTGCCGGTGACCCCTCTAGTGATCTATATAGAGGAATCGGGACCTCCTTCCTCCTGCCGGTGACCCCTCTAGTGATAGGATCTATATAGAGGAATCGGGACTTCCTTCCTCCTGTCGGTGATAAAGGGATCTATATAGGGGAATCAGGACCTCCTTCCTCCTGCCGGTGACCCCTCTAGTGATAGGATCTATATAGAGGAATCAGGACCTCCTTCCTCCTGCCGGTGACCCCTCTAGTGATAGGATCTATATAGAGGAATCAGGACCTCCTTCCTCCTGCCGGTGACCCCTCTAGTGATAGGATCTATATAGAGGAATCAGGACCTCCTTCCTCCTGCCGGTGACCCCCGGTCTTCCTGCTTTATAAAACCGCTTTTGATTGTTTTCTTCATTTTTCAGTTCTCTAATTCGATGTTTTGTCTCCAATTTCTCAGCTGGTCTCAGCCGCCTTTTGCTGTCTTTAATTGGAAGACAAAACTTTTATAAGGCGCTCCAAATTTAATTAGGATGGTCACGGAGCAAGGAAGGAGGCAAACGCGTAACAAGTCTTCCCCTCTTCCCTTATTGGTCCAGGGTGGCGGGTGTGATTGGTTCTTTCCAAAAATATTACACTTTTTCTCAAAGCCAATTTAATCCCTTACAAATGTGGTGGAAACATGCTCCCAAAAGTGGAGTCTGGGGAAACCTTTAGTCCCATCAGTTCACCAATTCTGCATCACCTAGACCCCCGATTGTGTTTGGGTGGGGAATGATTGTAATCCTTTGGACGCTCCGTCTTGCCAAACCACTGTAGGGAAAAACGGAGTTGCTTGGAATGGTTTTCCCCAATTGATCGGTTTGGTTTCACCAAGATAAAGGATGAGCGCTCGGTCCATAAACATGCAGAAATCGTTCCGATATATTCTGTACTACTGTACACAAAGCCAATGACATTGTACATGCACCAGAGGAGCTTACATTCTAATATCCCCTCACAGTCACACAGTCCCATCAGTCTATGTACCAGAGGAGCTTACACTCTAATGTCCCTTCCCCCACAGTCACATCAGTCTCTGTACTAGAGGAGCTTACACTCTAATGTCCCTTCCCCCACAGTCACATCAGTCTCTGTACTAGAGGAGCTTACACTCTAATGTCCCCTCCCCCACAGTCACATCAGTCTCTGTACCAGAGGAGCTTACACTCTAATGTCCCCTCCCCCACAGTCACATCAGTCTCTGTACCAGAGGAGCTTACACTCTAATGTCCCCCCTCCCCCACAGTCACATCAGTCTCTGTACCAGAGGAGCTTACACTCTAATGTCCCCTCCCCCACAGTCACATCAGTCTCTGTACCAGAGGAGCTTACACTCAAATGCCCCCCCCCCCCACAAAGTCACATCAATTCTCTGTACCAGAAGAGCTTACACTCTAACAAGGGTGGACTGACAAGTCATTGGGCCCCCGGGCAATAGGGATCATGGGGCCCCTGGGACCCTTGCCCACACTCAAAAAAGGTACCAGGAGCATCTCATGGGGCCCCCTACTGACCCTGGGCCCTCGGGCAATGCCTGAGTTTCCAAATGGTCAGTCCGCCCCTGCACTCTAATGTCCCCTCCCCCCACAGTCACATCAGTCTCTGTACTAGAGGAGCTTACACTCTAATGCCCCCTCCCCCACAGTCCCATCAGTCTCTGTACCAGAGGAGCTTACACTCTAATGTCCCCTCCCCCACAGTCACATCAGTCTCTGTACAGAGGAGCTTACACTCTATTGTCCCCTCCCCCCACAGTCGCACACTATTATTATACATTTATATAGCTCTGACATACTCCATAGTGATGTACTGATTTCTGCTCATTTCAAATAAATTGGGCTGCCAAAAATACGAGGGTGAGGCACATGTTTTGGGTCCATCGTCTCCTATCACCCCTAACCCCAACCCTCACTAGGTGTCCCCTGAGATCCGGTATTGATGGACCCGGTAGACCCGTTTCCATTTCTTCAGCTATTATATGAAGGTCAAGGAATGTCTGACTTTTTTTTGTTTTTTCTCTCTTTTAGTCCATCTAGACTTGTGTCCTGTATAATACTCCAGAGATGACCATGTGGCTACTCCAGTGCATCGGGGTCCTCTTGGGCATTGGGGTCCATCTTCACCCAGCGAGCACCTTCCCCTTCATCCTCACCCAGCTCAGCACCCGTAAGAGCAGCTGCAAGCTGATCCCCAGCAGCATGACCCTGTGCCATGGAGTGGGCTATGGAGAGATGCGTCTGCCCAACCTGCTGGGCCATGACACCATGAAAGAGGTTCTGCAGCAGGCCGGATCCTGGGTGCCTCTTCTCACCAAGCAGTGCCATGCCGACACCAAGAAGTTCCTGTGCTCGCTCTTCGCCCCCGTCTGTCTGAGCGACCTGGAGGAGGCCGTCCACCCCTGCAGATCCCTCTGTGAAGAGGTCCGCGATGGCTGCACACCAGTCATGGCTGCCTTTGGCTTCCCTTGGCCCGACATGTTTAACTGCACCCAGTTCCCTGAGGGCAATGAGCTGTGTGTGCCCCCTGCTGGCATGGAGGAGAAGCCACTGGTGGTGAAAGAAGGTAGGTGACCCCGATCATCACTGGTCAGGACTTGGGTCTGGAGGTCCAAGTACAGTAACCTAGAATTTAACTTACCCAGGGAACGAGTGAAGGCACATACAACAAAAAAAAAAAAAAGAAAATTGTCAAATTTGAACCCTCCATCGCTCTATTGAAAATGTTTGTGTCCCCACTGGTGAGATTTGCCATCACTTTGGTCCTGAAAGGAAGTGAAGGTAAATCTCTCCAATATGGACCAAAGTGGCGATAAAACTAGGCAGGGTTTCAGATATGCATCAGCTTCCTTCAAATAAGTAGCGTTGAGACCAGGGGCGGACTGACAACTCATGGGGCCCCTGGGCAATAGGGGAACATGGGGCCTCTGTGTCCTTGCCCAAACTCAAAAAAGCCCATGAAAAAGGTACCAGGGGCATCTCATGGGGCCCCCTACTGACCCCGGGCCCTCGGGCAGTGCCCGAGTTTCCAAATGGTCAGTCAGCCCCTGGTTGAGACCTCCTAGAGAAAACATTGTAATGTCACATAGAAGAGTCTCTGTCCACCAATGTAACCGTGACTTCTGTCCACAGAGCTCCCGTGTGCTGCCTGCCAGAATGGAGGAGACGTTGACAAAGCATTCCTGCAAGATTTTTGCTCTTGGGATTTTGGTAAGTAATGTAAAGTTGTTCTTGCAAATGTAAGGGACATTCTTCCCACTGATCACCGATGTAAGGGACACTCTTCCCACTGACCCCAATGTAAGGGACATTCTTCCCACTGACCCCCAATGTAAGGGACATGCTTCCCACTGATCACCAATGTAAGGGACATTCTTCCCACTGACCCCCAATGTAAGGAACATTCTTCCCACTGATCACCAATGTAAGGGACATTCTTCCCACTGACCACCAATGTAAGGGACATTCTTCCCACTGACCACCAATGTAAGGGACATCTTCCCACCGACCACCAATGTAAGGGACATTCTTCCCACTGACCCCCAATGTAAGGGACATTCTTCCCACTGACCCCCAATGTAAGGGACATTCTTCCCACTGATCCCCAATGTAAGGGACATTCTTCCCACTGATCCCCAATGTAAGGGACATTCTTCCCACTGACCTCCAATGTAAGGGACATTCTTCCCCACTGACCTCCAATGTAAGGGACATTCTTCCACTGACACCAATGTAAGGGACATTCTTCCCACTGACCCCCCAATGTAAGGGACATTCTTCCCACTGACTCCCAATGTAAGGGACATTCTTCCCACTGACTCCCAATGTAAGGGACATTCTTCCCACTGATCACCAATGTAAGGGACATTCTTCCCACTGATCACCAATGTAAGGGACATTCTTCCCACTGATCACCAATGTAAGGGACATTCTTCCCACTGACCCCCAATGTAAGGGACATTCTTCCCACTGACCCCCAATGTAAGGGACATTCTTCCCACTGACCCCCAATGTAAGGGACATTCTTCCCACTGACCCCCAATGTAAGGGACATTCTTCCCACTGACCCCCAATGTAAGGGACATTCTTCCCACTGATCACCAATGTAAGGACATTCTTCCCACTGACCCCCAATGTAAGGGACAATCTTCCCACTGGCCACCAATGTAAGGGACATTCTTCCCACTGACCTCCAATGTAAGGGACATTCTTCCCACTGACCCCCAATGTAATGGACATTCTTCCCACTGATCACCAATGTAAGGGACATTCTTCCCACTGATCACCAATGTAAGGGACATTCTTCCCACTGACCACCAATGTAAGGGGCATTCTTCCAACTGACCACCAATGTAAGGGACATTCTTCCCACCGACCCCCCAATGTAAGGGACATTCTTCCCACCGACCCCCAATGTAAGGGACATTCTTCCCACTGGCCACCAACATTCAGGTACCTAAAATATAGGAAGCCCTTTCCTAAACCTAGGTGTTCTTCAAAAAGGTAGACCTAGAAAAAAAAAACAGTAAATGCAGCTGCAACCACAAAATGACTATCAGGTCAATGGCAACCACATGTGTAAAGCCATTCATGAAAATGTGTATAATTCTGGGTCAATGGGATTAAGGCTTGCAGATTTCTTTTTGATCTTTACCGTCTCAGAGGCAAAGAGGCAGGACTGGGTTTGGGGCATGCTCCTCTGGTCAGATGCTGGATGGGGGTGACGCCTCTTATAGCGAGAAACGGATATTGATGAAAGGCCTGCCTTCCACGTTTACCGCTTAGAGTGCAATAAGGAAGAAAACTGGTGTGGGCTTGTCCACCATAAAGCCAAGGATGTCTTCTGCTCATGGCTTTATTACCATGACACAGTTTCCAGGCTGGACAAATGAACGTGCCGTTACCTCCAGCTCAAGTGAACTAATGAGTGGTCTAGCATGGGGAATTAAACAGGCCTAGCCTAGTGTTTGGCTGCTGGGGTAACCCTTGTTAAAGGCACACTTTATTCTCCAGTAAAAACCTGAGGGGATTCCAAGCCCTCACCACTCTTTCCAAACCAAGAAAAAAGGTTTTAGCTATACGTATGTTTTATTATATTTTTTTTTAAATGGACATTTTTTATTTTTAATTTATGATCCACAACCAAGTCATTAGGATTCAAATATCAATATTTACAGAGAACAGATACAATGGTTTGGTGTTCTACCAAAACCCTTTCTTAGGCTACCAGTAGTGCTTTGATAATTTTGAGTCCCCCGGGCAGTTGCTTGAGCAACCCAAAGATGTTTGAAAGTAAATCTGTGCTTTAGGACTTGTGTTGATGGTCTACGGCAACCTTTTAGAACCAGGGTTCCTTCTTAGAGCAGTGTTCCTCAAGCTTTTTTTCAGTTAGGCACCCTTTAAAATTATGGACACCCGAGGCACCCTTTAAAATTATGGACAGTCCCGAGGCACCCTTTAAAATGATGGACAGTCCCGAGGCACCCTTTAAAATGATGACATCCCGAGGCACCCTTTAAAATGATGGACAGTCTTGAGGCACCCTTTAAAATGATGGACAGTCCCGAGTCACCCTTTAAAATGATGGACAGTCTTGAGGCACCCTTTAAAATGATGGACAGTCTTGAGGCACCCTTTAAAATGATGGACAGTCTTGAGGCACCCTTTAAAATGATGGACAGTCTTGAGGCACCCTTTAAAATGATGGACAGTCTTGAGGCACCCTTTAAAATGAACAGTCCCGAGGCACCCTTTAAAATGATGGACAGTCTTGAGGCACCCTTTAAAATGATGGACAGTCACCCTTTAAAATGAGGCACCACCCTTTAAAATGATGGACAGTCTTGAGGCAGTCCCCCTTTAAAATGATGGACAGTCCCGAGGCACCCTTTAAAATGATGGACAGTCCCGAGGCACCCTTTAAAATGATGGACAGTCTTGAGGCACCCTTTAAAATGATGGACAGTCCCGAGGCACCCTTTAAAATGATGGACAGTCAGTCACCCTTTAAAATGATGGACAGTCCCGAGGCACCCTTTAAAATGATGGACAGTCCCGAGGCACCCTTTAAAATGATGGACAGTCCCGAGGCACCCTTTAAAATGATGGACAGTCCTGAGGCACCCTTTAAAATGAAGGACAGTCCCGAGGCACCCTTTAAAATGAAGGACAGTTTTAAAATGATGGACAGTCCCGAGGACAGTCCCGAGGCACCCTTTAAAATGATGGACAGTCCTGAGGCCCGAGGCAGTCCCGAGGCACCCTTTAAAATGAACAGTCCCGAGGCAGGAAGGACAGTCCCGAGGCACCCTTTAAAATGAAGGACAGTCCCGAGGCACCCTTTAAAATGAAGGACAGTCCCGAGGCACCCTTTAAAATGAAGGACAGTCCCGAGGACCCTTTAAAATGAAGGACAGTCCCGAGGCACCCTTTAAAATGATGGACAGTCTTGAGGTACCCCATTCTAAAATGGGGTGCCTCAAGACTTTCACATTTTAGAATGGGATTCCCTTTTAAAATTATGGACAAACTATTCTAATAGTTTCATATAACAGATCCACATCCACACATGTAGGACACCCAACGTTAGAGGCTTCCAAAGCCAATACACTTTTGCACTCTGATACTGACTAGTATACCACTGTTTCTCTTCTCCCTCACTGAGCTAATTTGACCCCAGCACTGACAGAGAGGGGCAGGGGAGGGTCAAACTAGGATGCTGTGCAGGCAGCTGACATCCTCCTTATCACCTGATGATGTCATTGGTTGGTTGTCAGGACGCCGGCAGCTAGAAGGTGGTAATGGTGCTCCATGAAAACCTGTGGCTTTGTGTAACTAGAAGGCAGACTTGTTCCACCCGCTGGCCTGTATACCAGTTTTGGGCAGTTTTTAGACATTTTGCCAAGGCACCCCTGAAGAAACCTCAAGGCACCCCAGGGTGCCTGGGCACCCTAGTTGAGAAAGGCTGCCTTAGAGACTGTTGGGGATACTGTATCTTGAAGAGTAATAGATTGCTCTCTTGAAGAGTTCTGCCACCAATGTCACTTGCAAATATCAGGAGTGTGGGATCAGTGGAGCCTCACCCTCATCTCACAGGAAAGTAGCCATAGACAGCAATGGTCTTTTCAGCAGTTTGTATGGCAACAGTCTTCCCAGTGATCCCCAAAATAATGGGCAATTCATCACAATAACCACTGATGTAAGGTGGCACTACACTGACCACCAATGAAATAGGTATTCTTTCCACTGGCCATCAATGTAATGGAAGAGAAAGAAGGCGCTTCTAAGTGCAGTACATCCACATGATTATTGGTAAAAATGGTTAAAACCAGTGGATAAAGCCCCCTTATATGGATGGCCAGTGGACAAAGCCCCCTTATATGGATGGCCAGTGGACAAAGCCCCCTTATATGGATGGCCAGTGGACAAAGCCCCCTTATATGGACGGCCAGTGGACAAAGCCCCCTTATATGGACGGCCAGTGGACAAAGCCCCCTTATATGGACGGCCAGTGGACAAAGCCCCCTTATATGGACGGCCAGTGGACAAAGCCCCCTTATATGGACGGCCAGTGGACAAAGCCCCCTTATATGGACGGCCAGTGGACAAAGCCCCCTTATATGGACGGCCAGTGGACAGAGCCCCCTTATATGGACGGCCAGTGGACAGAGCCCCCTTATATGGACGGCCAGTGGACAGAGCCCCCTTATATGGACGGCCAGTGGACAGAGCCCCCTTATATGGACGGCCAGTGGACAGAGCCCCCTTATATCGACGGCCAGTGGACAGAGCCCCCTTATATCGACGGCCAGTGGACAGAGCCCCCTTATATCGACGGCCAGTGGACAGAGCCCCCTTATATCGACGGCCAGTGGACAGAGCCCCCTTATATCGACGGCCAGTGGACAGAGCCCCCTTATATCGACGGCCAGTGGACAGAGCCCCCTTATATCGACGGCCAGTGGACAGAGCCCCCTTATATCGACGGCCAGTGGACAGAGCCCCCTTATATCGACGGCCAGTGGACAGAGCCCCCTTATATGGACGGCCAGTGGACAGAGCCCCCTTATATCGACGGCCAGTGGACAGAGCCCCCTTATATCGACGGCAGTGGACAGAGCCCCCTTATATCGACGGCCAGTGGACAGAGCCCCCTTATATCGACGGCCAGTGGACAGAGCCCCCTTATATCGACGGCCAGTGGACAGAGC